ATACCATACGAAATGAAAAGTTGAGCATGCTAATTTTTTTCAGAGAACACTGCAAATTTAGGGGTTGAAAACAGGCTGTATTTATTTATTGCGGGCTATTTATCTGGAGTTTAGCACGATTATATGACAATGGCCATATAGAACAGAAGTAGATACACCATATTTATTTGGAGTTTAGCATGTTTATATGACAATGAGCATATCAAAGTGGAGTTTAGCACATATATCAAAGGTTTGCAATAATGTCCAGTATGGCGCCCCATACACATGTACATGCACTGTCTGCTTTCTCACTCAACTTCTCAGCTGCCAATTCAAGAGAACCACATTGGATCAGGGTATCTCTAATTTCACTTAGTTTGGCCTCAGGGAACAGAACAGTCAGAGAGGAAATATTTTCATCCATGATGACACACCTGAAGATGTTGATGGTACTTCATCATCCACAGCAACAGATCGTGGCGTGCTTGTTGAACAAGCTTGGGGCCTATAATCAGTGGGGGGCAACATCACTGGCAAAGAGGTGCTGTCACTGTCATCAGAAGAGGTACCTGAAATTACATCTTTACAGATGTCAAGTCTCGCGTAAAGCTTCCCAGCACCACAAAGGTGTTTCACATGTGCATAGTCCCATAAATGATTTTCTTTCACTACAGGTGTTAAAATGGTGTTTCTCTCCCTTTTAACAAAGTCAAAGTCAGTCTCTGATATCAGTGGACATTTGACTTTGAATAAATCCTTCAGTTCTTGGCGAATTGTTTGTTCATCTGCACCCGTTAACAAATCAAACTCCCCTATCACTAAAATCATTTCCTCCTTAATTGTGTATTCATCATTTTGACTGTCATCTTCTAGATCTTCCTCGTCATCAGCGTTGAGATTTACTTGATCAAGAAGAAACACTGTCTTCGGTACAAAATGCGCCTTTTGCTTTGAAGAAGGCGCTTTCTTTTTCGTAAAGGATGTCCGGTTAAAGAAGTCGATCTATCGTGTGCACGAGCAGACATAGCTGGTGTATTTCGAGAAAATTCAGACGTAGAAGCTGATTGTTGTTTACCTGTCTCGCCAAGCTGTCTCGCACTAAAGGACGCAGATGAACGAATCAAGTTTCTCGTTCTATTCACCAGAGTCTGGCTTGTAACATTTCCACGTGTATTAAGTTCTTCTCGGACACATCTTCGAACTACGTCCTCCACTGAATCTGAATCGTCCGCCATCTCAAAATTAATGTTTGCACGAGGAAGAAGAATATTATGGAATGTATGAAGATGCGATGAAGATGCTAGTGCCCAGGCCCTCCCCGACTTGAGAAAAATACAGTGGGAACAAGGTTCTATTGCATTGTGGGAAAGCACTTTGTTGACAGTGTTTGAGTTGGTTGTTGACAACGTACCTTTGATTGTTTGATGCGAGAATTGGCTACGTTGAGCGTGATGGCAATTGGAGCTTGACCTGGAAGGGCCGCGTTCTAGAATATGACGGGAATATGGGGTCGATGTCGAATGATTCTCGAAAACTGAGAAAAACTTTTCGTTGAAAGAAAGGAAAGCTCATTTCTTGAGCTTGACGCAATTCTCTCTTGGCGTTGAATTGAAATTTGTTGAATGTGTTTATTTTTGTTGTTGAGCTTGATTAAAATATGCCGTAACCTTGAAAGAAAATCCGTTGAACGTGACTTGATTTTGGTGAGCTTGATTGAAATCTCTCTTGACCTTGATAAAAAATTTGTTGAATGTGAAGACAATTTTGCTTCTTGAAGTTTGCACCATTTGGCTTTCCATATCCTCATACTCACTTTTGGGCTTATTGTAGATTATAGCCTTTTCTTTGATCTCAGAAGTATCCTCCTCAGGTTTCTTCATCACTTCCTAACAGAAACAAGTTTAATAACTTTCATAAGTTTAGGACTTACAGGCCATCACAGTCATACAAAAACATTAGTTCCAATTAAAAAGAAAAAAGCTCACCAGAGCTCTAGTAAAGACAAATGGAGTCTTGGCATGATTTCCCAACCAAATGTTTCAATTTTTACATCACACATCCAAATATTTAAACAAAAGGTTAAAACAAAGCGAAATAAATACGTCTTTGGTGAGTTCTCGTAAAACAAGATTTCCCCCACAAAATGCCAGTCTCTGCTGCTTTGTGTGACTTGTGTTGCAAGTAGTGACAGAGCTATTTCCAGGGGTGTTTTCACCACACAGTAACATCAGGCAGGTGTTAACTGGCAGAGAGTTGAAGACATCTTCATCATCAACAACCGATGAATCTTCAAGGCAGACATGAACATTTTCTGGAGCACCAGGTAATGACAGTTTTGCATGCCCTACAAAAACCAAAACCGAAAGAAAAGTTTAGCTTCTTTCTTTGACACTTTGTTTAATAAATACAAGTCAAAAGTAGTTTAATACTTTAATACCTTTTGCTTTCAACTCGTTTAGAGAATTAGCTGAGACAAGAAATCCTGCCTGGCCACTCACGTCTCTTATTTTTAAAAATGGCATCATCGGCACAAAAAAGATTTGGCTTTCTGCAAAAAACATAGCAAAGAAAAATTGCTCGTAAACTCTTCTACTGATACATCTTTTCAAAAGCATAAATTAAAATCAGAATAAAACATATACCACTACTATAAAGCACTTCAATGCACGTGGGAGACTTTGCGCTTCTATTGAAATATATCATTCTAGTTCAGTATGAAAAGCCACTTCTACCACGGCTACACACTTCAAAGTAGGAACGTTCTAAAAACAGCATTTTTTAGACTAGATGGCCTATGAAGTAGCAGATAAATATCGGTAAAAAAACTCACCTTCTCCGAAACCCACGCCATTCCAAAGACAAGAAAGACGATGCCAGGTAACCACGCTTTATCTTGGCCTCAGTCTCTGTGCCCAACAAAGCAAATGTCCCGACCCCCGAGCAAAGGTAGTCGATCAAACCTCCCACTGAGGAGATGGATTCCTTGGTCAAATCCCCACCCGTTGCCCGCACTCCCCCCCCGCCCCTCACGGGGTTTACATTGATAGGTGCATTAACAATGAACTTATGTGGGTCAACTGCAGACAAAAATGGAACTTGTGCAGCTTTACCAACTACACGCATGTACCTTAGCCGATGTTGATTTGTCTTGGTTACTTGCTGAAAGCACCAGATCATTGCCAGAACTATATTAATCAGGTCTATGATCAGAGTGATCTTCAAGCGGGTACGATGTGTCTTCAGTAACATACTCCTCTTGGTCACTGCCACTTGAGTCACTCGAACTCGAATCGCTTTCAGCAATTTTCGATTTCTTTGCCGTTGACGGCCCTTCAATGGAATTCTTAGCGTACCAAAAGCCGTATAACTTAGTATGCTGCTTAATCTTGTAACTCGACTGCAGTACAGCACCTTGGCACAGCGTACAAGGACAGAGTCGGGAAGACATAACTAGAAAAGCTCGATTCTCGTGGTCATATCTCGCGCTGGGAACGAAGCATGCGCACTTGTATAGGACGAAAGCCGATTGCTTTCTGACGAGACCATAAAAAGATGCAAATATCGACGACCTCCGATACATTGGCGAACATGGTAAGCGCGATGGCTGATGGAACGGGTCTTTGATGTCATGTGACGTTCCAGAAGAGAAAGTGGCGGTTTTTTTGTAACGAGTCGACTTGACGTTTCTCTTAGAATTTTGCTTGACCTTGCTTGTTATTCGCGATGGATCTGCTGAAGAGTGTTTTTCAGGATGTTAAATTCACAAAAATAGGGTGTTCGAAGTACTACTAGACGAAGGGGTAAGTATTGGTTAAAAAAAGCCCATTTTAACGTTAAAACCCTCCCACAACTATGGTAAGTTTGAGTCAAGTACCAAGCTCGAAGGGACTAATTTCGCAACTGGTCGTTTCGCTAACGAGTTGTTTCGAAACGTTTCATATCGGTGAAAATTCAATCCATAAGCTGCAGCATATTGTAAGTAATATATCAAACATGAGATGCAGTGTTTCATCACCAGATGAAACACCGAGAAGAGAGTTGAAAATACGACGCGCAGCGGAGTATTTTTGACGAACTTCGAGGTGTTTCATCTGGTGATGAAACACTGTGTCGAATGTTTGATATTTCTTCTCAAACAAAATCATTTTTGAAGGAGAAATTAAGGATGCAAATACTAAGCAGTGTTTCATCCGATTTCCAAACACTCATTAAACATTAATTTCCTTTGTATTTTCTTAATGAATTATTAATGAGTTT